CAGATACCACGTCTGCTCACACTGCCGTGAGTATAAAAATTAAGTCAATAAGCTAAATTTCGCTTGATTCATTTTAATTCGGTTGTTTTGTATATTCTTCAATAGTAACTCATGTTTCAGCTGATAAACTGCTTTCGTTTCGTGATCCCGATTAAACAATAAAACCTTGAACTGAAACGTTCATAATATACTATAAACTTGTAAATCGATGCTACACAAACAACCAGTAGCTGAGAAACACCGGTTTACCTGAGAATTAGAGGTGTTCGACGACGCTGCAGACTTTCTCCGGATCGTCACCCGTAGTTCGTACTCTTCGTTTCCCGTAAACAACGAAATCGTCGTCGATGTCGATGAGCTCGCTGCCTTTTCTCGTAAAGAGTGTTCGTTCCGAAGGCGTTCGATGAACTCGGTGTCAAACACCATGTGCCGAGGCAGTAGGTCACTTGCGAAAGGTAGCTCGTCACAAAACCGACGGCAACCGAAATCAACCGTTTTAGCCAGAACATAACTTGAGCAAAAAAAGCCTAAGAGGCTGTCCACGTTCATCGCAGCCTGCAATCGCCTGAACGTCAGCGCCTGGTCGAACATCGGTGAAAATATGGTCAAAGCTCGTCTATACAGTTGGCAAGCTTCGAGTTTGCGTTGCGGGGGACTGGCCAATTTTTTGAGAACGAAACTAAAACAAAAATTCATAACCGCTAAAACTAAACCAGACCCTATACAAAGGTATTAACACCTAAGATCGTTAAGCATATCACATTCGTTACGTTGGTCATCAGATATTAAACATGTCATATGTTAAAACTATTTAAGAAACGAAATGACAAAGAGACCGAAACTATGGTATCCTACAAAGACTCGGCAGTGAGCTATGCCATGCGCTCCTAACTTGCCGTGTTAATTTTAAAATTCATAGCATACTGCCTTCTGCTCGCATCGCATTTTCATTTTTTGTGACTTGGCAAGGTTTAGTTTTTTTCTAGGTATTATCGCGTGTCGTTCACGCACGTCCAAGATCATCCTTCTTCTTCAGATTTACAGGTGAGTCTATGCATCCTGAGTGACAGTGTTCCCTGTTTCTTCTATGCAACAGATACGGCAATTTGTAAACAGTGTTTGTAAAGGTTTTCACATAAGGTCGAATTAAAGAAGGATTATTATTTAGAATATTATTTTTAACATTTTTGGCATAACAAGTTCATTTAAAGTGACTCATTCTACGGTTTATGATGCACTTAACGAATCTAAAGCATAAATATTGTTATTACAGTAGGTTAATTTAATACGCTTCGCTTTATTTTTTCGTTAAGGAATTCAATAATAAATGCATTAGAGCTGAGCGCATTAAAGGTTTTCGTTTATTATTTAAACGATTGATTATATAAGATAAAGTTATGATATTTATCAATAATTTAACAATAGTTTATAGTTAACTAATTAGTTTAATTTTATACCAATTACCAGAGTCAGTTATTAAGACAATAAGAAAAGGTGGATCGAAATTATTTTCTCTTTCAATAGTTAACTCTGTATTGAGAATGTCTAGAGCTTTAGTCTCATAACTAGATTTACGTTTCCCGGGCCACACAATCAAAGCGTTCCATCAAGATTTCAACAATAATGGAGCAGAGTGTGTCTGCTCTCCCTCGACCCTTGTGCTTTGTTTGAAGAACCCGCCAATGAAGAAAATATAATTCGCTTCTACCACGCAAAAAGTGATTAACTGTATGACAGATTTACATGACAAAACAGTAAGTTGTTTAAATGAATTACCTTTTTGAAGAAGTTATCCGATGCCCTTAACGTAAGGATAGCAGCGTGAACAGGATATTAATAAACAAGCGTTTAGAAAATAGTTCCAAGAAAATTTATCTAAATAATTCCCAAAGTTTTTTTCTTCCTTTTCTTTCCGTTCAAATTTGATCACTGAGCTTTAAATTGCCCCCTCTCTGTTCCGATTTGTATTTAACAACGACGTATTATTTATTATACGCTGATAGATTAAAACCCCGTTTCAAGGTAACAAATGTATTATTTTTGGGCTCATAACGGTGTAATTTCCTGTACGTAATGATCATTTTAAATTTTTATTAATTCAAAGTCGGCAGATTTAGAAGTCTTCTAATTCAATGATTGTATGCACGAAAAGGACTGAACATGAAAAGCCAAAGTTGCGAATCACAATTATACTGTTCATCATCATGGAACTTTCCATCATCATTGACTTAACAGCTGGTCCAGGACAAATACCACTACTTTACAGGTGGTCACACTACGACCGCTTAGAACCGACTTACTTCGACAAAATTAAAGTTCGTTTTTCATTCGTTTTCAAAGCCTCCTGTTGGTATCAATGCAAAGTTCCCAAAAACAGCTGTTCCTGTCTTTCCTTTCCTTTCCTACACTGACTAATTCCGTGGAAGGAATGCAGGAATTCCAGAGTTCAAAAACGCCCAATTTTCTACAGTAAATCGTCTGGTTCGAGGCCTGCACTTAGATCCTTTCAACAGTGACTTTTCAAGAAAATACACATCTAGAGTCTATTTATCCTGCGGCATCTTCAACCGTCAAAATCATTGCGGTTGCGAATTTTTAAATTTTCAACGTAAGGTTTAAAGTTTTCGATTCCGGTTCCATTACTGAAGCGGCAAAAAATCTGCCGATCTATGCTAAACGGTTAATTGTGACCTCTATCTAAAGAAAGAATGATTCACATTCGAACCGATCTATCGGAAATTTTGTCGAGTATCGCTACAGCAACAACCTTTCGAGGAAGTCTCATTTCTGCCGCTTGTACGAAAGATCCATACTTTCGGTCAATACTTGGCACTCATACAATAGGTACGGGTGGAATTGTGTTATACAGACTTGAAGAGAAAAACCTCAACTACGTGTCAGCTACCATCGTCGTTAATGACGGATCAAATTCTCGCATTACACTATTCGCTGGACCAATCCACGTGTCCAATTCGTGAGTGTTAGCGAGATGCTTAAACTTCTTTAACTGCATCAGTTGCGCTATACCCAACTGCAAAGCAAAGTTCTTTCCCATATAATACTACTTCATCGCATTATCCAGCTAACGTAAAGCAAATACACAAAGACTAAGATTCAGAGAAAACAAATCATCAATGACTTGTGAAAAAAAACAGGTTTAAAAGCAATTACTTACAAGAATACATTAGCGATGAGGTTGACCTCTGAGGCAAGCGCGTCGATGACAAAGGTACGAAGATAGAAGTCACGAAGTAGTTCGCCTGTAATGATGTCGCAACCGCCGCGAACAGAACAGCCTAACGTAAAGCTGGCCAACGTCGATATATCAAGTGAGCTATATACATAGTCGTTGCGAAAGCGACCCCATTTCAACATCGTGTTGCGCAGGTCCAAGAAGCTGGTGCCGATCACACCAAAGTCGACCAACAGCTTGTCGACCGTTTTCTTCAACCCCATACAGACTTTGATCACCCTCCTGTCGGCAAGCAGGTTGATCAGCGACACAGGCACGTCAATCATGTTGCACAGACGCACCAAAGCCACTACGCCGTTAAACGTGCACAGAGTGAGCAGCAACGCTTTGCCACGAAGTGCGTTGTACTGCCGAACCGAATCGATGGACGATAAGTCCTTTCGAAACATTCGACGCAACTCCTTCACCTTACTGGTCACCTTCTGGGAGGAAAATTTTAGTTTTATTGCGACGGCGTTCAGTGGACCTATGGCTTCGATGAAAACGCGCCATTTTTCTTCAAAGTCCTCTTCGTCGTTTATTACTAGTACCCTAGACACTGCGATTGACGACGTAACTTCCATCGCTCAATGCGGCCCTAAACATGAATGTTAATACTCTGAATAAACAGTCCTAGGAAAGTCAACTAAAAGTTTTCAAAGAAAAGGGTCTTATAGGCACGAATAAAATGCTGTCCGAAGACTTTTGTAACAAGCCAAAATTTCGGACAACGATCGCATTACCGGTCTTCATGGCATTTACTCAGAGGATTGTTAACGTAGCCTTACAGGGTAGTTCACTTTACAGTATGCAATTAAGTTCAACGAATTCGTTAATTATAAAAGTAAACAATTACATCAGAGATATGATTAAAAGCAACCAAGACAATACCACCAAACAGAGAATAAACCGCATTAAACTACACACTTTAGACATATCCAATAAACTAACACAGCAGTTACATATCCTGATAAGATAATTTCGGCGCGATTCTTAATAATTTAATCAGTCTACTTAAGCGAGATTCGGGTCACATGAGGTTAACGACTACAAAAAATGTTGACAACGGCTGTATTGCACTGATACGGCGTTTAGCAGGGCATGAAACTGACGGTAAAAATACGGTTATTTTCTTATTTCAATCCTATGCCATAGAAAGAGATATTCATGATGTCTGTGAAAGGCAGAGGCAAACAACCAACGCTTTCCTTCAGCACTGAAAGGAACTAAAAGTACTTTTTGTTGACATAATTTTATATCTGCACCCACTGCTGTTTCTGCAGAAGATGGGTCGACCGTCTAGAAGCGTAATTATCCCCAACTTTGTTGCTCCTTTCACAATAGCAGTGACCTGATTTATTAGCTGTTTCACGTGGTGCGTACAAATGCGCATAAACCAAAATCTGGGCGTAATGCTTTTCGTTCCATCTTACAGAACGCACAGAATAAACTAGCAGAAAAAGCATAGCAAAAACCCAACAGTGGCTTCATCTGATCATTCTGGGCTGCTTTGAAACGAAATTTAGTGTCAAACTTCAACAAGTTAACTAACTTTAACAATTTTTGTCGATGACAGAGCACTCTTTAATAACGATATTCCAACAATCTACTGCCATAACTGTAAACTGTGCAGCCTAAACCGATTCTGAGACGGAATGAACCAAGGACTTTCAAGTTCCAAAAACTAAAAACAACAGGTAGTCGTAGACGTGTTATTTAAACTCGCCTCTCGCTTCAAACTTATCATCATGCTGTTTCAAACTCGAACTTATTCTGTAGTACTTATGTATGCTACTGGATTGCTCATGGCACAGATCTGATTACAGAAAATACCGGCGTTGCAAGCCACGTGGTTCTTGTGAAAATACTTCGACAATGGTGGCGGCATGGCATTGTATCTAAGAGATCGGGACAATCTGTCATAACCGAGATTTCATCCTGGGTTGGCTGTGTTCAAGAAACCTAGAAACGAGTAGCAAACTAGTGACACGGCATTCTAATCTGGTCATGTCACAACTGACAAAGTAACGGTTACGTTAACCAATATTAAGTGTCCTTGGTGGCTGTACTTCGCTTCGACCCACCTGACTGCTATCCAGTGCAACAATCCGCACGGTGCAACCCTGATTTTTTCTATAAAATCTGAATACAGACTAATGTCGTAAAAACAACAATACTGTGGAACCAACCTCCCACATTAAAAACAATGTACAGCTTTTAAATCTTTCCATCTAATATCATATCACACCAAAACAAGCTACGGCAACTGCACCGAAACCAAAGCTAGTCAACAAGGAAAAAACGGGAGAATAACTACATCAAGCCTGATACTAGTCACGGGTGGCTCGCCACCCTAAGAAGCGAGATCACTGCGGGTCTTGCTCCGGATCCAACAGTGGTTGCGCACTCCCAAAATCAAAATAAACTTTTGAGATTATAAAAGATCGACAATAGAAACTATTTGTAAACCATAATCCAGAGCCAGTTCTTAGATCCTTTCGAACTTATTTGGAAGAAAGCCAGTAGTGTGAAAAGTACTGCCGGTACTTTACATCAACCAGCGATCAATAGACAACCCTTTCCACAGTGCTTAAAAATCATTAGCTGTCCTTACTTACTGACTCATGCGACCAATCCAGCTCAGAAAACTAAACGCACTTGGGACGGTAAAAGTAAACACGCATAAGCTGATTTTCTTTTAATCGTGATCGATCATAGAAACGTATTGGATCGAAACGATTAACGGTGACTTATAATCCCCAAAAGCGAAGCACGCTTGAATTTAAATGGCTTTTCAAAACGTTTTGCTAATCTAATCCTGATGATTTTAAACCTTTCTCAGACTCAAAGACAGCCTATTTCGTTGGCGTGTTGATGATCTAGCCGGAACACGCAAAGCAAAATTTTAAACTTCACGCAAAGCAGTTGGTACACACATTTTGGCAACGAAATGATATCCGTTGAAGTAAACCCTAAAAGAGGATCAAGACGTCGCTGTCTGGCTAGAAACAAAAGCGAGACGAGTGCGATGCATTAACTAAATCGTTCTAATGTTATACCCACCGCACATTTTATAAACCAGATTTACTTGTGAGAAGATGGCGCTGTCTTCATACATCGCAGGTCTGAAA